GCCAAAGATGTCTACAAAATTATCTCAGTTATTATTAAAAAACTGATTATTTTTGAAAACTTTGCCACCCTGTATCTCAAAAGTTAAGGCGTTTAGGACATACGTCCATAGGAAGTTTTTTCTTAAAATGGGTCTAAGAATTTCCTCCTCAAATATTAGCATGTGTTTAAGGAACACCCTGTATATCTCACTTCCATACCACCAATACACGAAGAATTTTGGAAAGATTTTCAAGGAGCTACGTATGAAGGTGGTTTTTAAAACGAATCATACAAAGTGGAGAATTTGGAAAAGTCTGGAATTTACGAAATTAAATGTAAGGACTGCAATGAAAAATATTATGGACAAACAAAAAGATCTATTAAAATAAGATATAAGGAACATTTAGCACACTTGAAATATGGAAGACCTGAAAAATCAGCAGTCGCTCATCATATTTTGCAACAAAACCATTTCATTGACTTCAGTTCAATAAGATTATTCAGACAAGTTAGTAACAAGATGCATCTAGATACCTATGAGAGTGTAGAAATAAGTCAATATAATAATATTATGAACAACGATGGTGGACCAATAGCTAATAGTATACTATATAGCTTGTTAAAATAATATTTTATTCATTAGATTTATCTGAATATTACATAATGACACATTGTAAAATTAATTTAAGACTAGTTGATAACACAATATTGTGAAATAAATTTTATGTAGCTCATAATATGTGAATTATTAGATTATTACATGAGGACACATTGCAAAATCAATTTAAGACTAGTAGATAAGGCAATATTGTGAAATTAATTTTATATAATATCTCAATTATTAGAATTACTCGACTATTATATAAGGATACATCTAAAGAAATGAACTTTAAATGTCCAAGCCCGTCTCGGATATACGTACACAGTCGGTTGAATGGACTGACGCCTATCAAAAAACAACTAAGCCCCTGACTAATACCACGAAGTGTGTTGGATTACATCCGACAGGCGTCAGTGAAGGAACCTTCACAGAAAATTGCCTGCATATGCAACTGGCAATACAACTGAAAGAGTCGAACTTCAATTTTGGAACGGGCACACTTGCAGACCGGTTTCAGGCTCCTTAGCCACTCTTCAATGCAAGATAGTGAACATCATCGACCTAAAGTCAATTATATTCCATAATGAAAATCGAAATTCTTTCAGAGTATTTCATTCCTCGTCTTAAATTGGAGCAAACATCAAAAACATCACTCCATCTAGTGGACGAAGTACTAACCAACTGCAAATTCGAAATTTGCCCGATTCCTCTGAATAAGGAAGAAAAACTTTCTTAATAGTCAGTGGCTATGCTTGAAGAAACAAATCTAAAGAAATGAACTTTAAATGTTCAAGCGCGTCTTGGATATACATACACACAGTAGGTTGTCATCTTCGTGTCAGAATTTCGAGATAAAAGTCGAAATTACAAGACAAAAGTCAATATTTAGACTTTTAAGTCGAAATTATGGTGGATCAAATAAACAAATAATCTTTGTCTACGCTTCCGTAGTTATATTTTTAGGAGTGACTAATTTTTGGGAAAAATACTCTCTACTGATCAATATGGATTTCGAGAGACTAGATCAACACAAGATGCGACGATTCACTTAATGGGAGAAATTTACGAATCAATAGATAATAGTAAACCATATCTTCGTCTCGTTCTTGATTTGGTCAAAGCTTTCGATACTGTTCTTCTCCTCATCGACCCCCGACCTCTTTCAAAAACACCAGGATCGTTTCTGCGTTCACCCAGCAATTATCCGATTTCTCAAATCTTCCACATCTGCCACTGTAATCGGAATGTTGTTGATAGGTACCAAAGGAATTGTTAAATTTTTTATTACTTAGTAGTTCCAGTGTCGTACGCTATACTTTCATTTCGTCTACGTTGATAATTTTAAAATTACCAAAATTGTTATTGTCGAAATTATTTTTTGTCTCGTATCTTCGAAAGTAAGCGCCCTATCAAAAATCATCAAAAGACAAAATATCCTTAGAATAGTCCCCTAATTTTCACCGCATATTTAATAAACACCCTGTATACGAATACGCAAACATTGTGGTTGCCTCCCTTTCTCTCACACAGAGACTGTGTGAGGGAATTATTTAATCCTGGCGATTCTGATCAGGATAATGAGATGAACTTATGAAATATAAATCTGTCCATTTGAAGTTAGTCAAAATCGAGTCCAAAGGAGTCGGTTACAAACAAACATAGAAGTGAAGCTAATAAAAAAGTGTTAATTTAAAAAGCGTGTTGAAAACGAGGTGAACGAAAAGGTCACATATTTTATAATACATCAGAAGTCCTAATGATTATCTTGCTATACCAAATGCCAACCCAAATATCACCATTGTATGATTATATGGATCTAGCTATTACGGAAATAGGTCGGGCAGAAAATTACTTTATAGCACTTATTCATTCCGTGATAGCATGTTATTAACGAAAGTCCTAATGAAATTGTGTCGATTTTTAGAAGAATAGATCATTGGTGTAGGGAACATTTGGAAAATTCACGAGAACATAGCCTCCAGTGTATTGTTTATAACAGAAATTATTGATAAATTTTGAGAAAATCTACCTTCTTAGGCGTTTGGCTTTCTTGACTATATTTTCAAACTATCGATTTTTTAAAGGGCACAAAGAAGATTGGGGGCGTTGAAGCGGTTTGGGGGGCGATGACTAATTTGAAAATATTTTTTTGCTTTTAACACAAACTTTACCGCTCCTTTACGCCATCTAGGGGACTACACAGTAACTATTTCCTGTCCGATAGTTGTCAACTGTACAATAGATGGCTGTAAGCTTTAATGCTAAGCGAGAAGTTTCTAGTCTCCATTCTCGAAAGTACTAGGCCCGCCCGCTGCCTCATTTAAAAGCGCGCGCGCCATCCAGCCAGTAATGTCATTCGACGATATAACGAAAACATGTGAATTTAGTTAGCGACTAGCTAGGTAAAGTGCTGTATGTGCGGTGGTGAATACTGTGAGAGGTGTCATCAGCAATTTTTCAATACTCGATTCTTTATTTCGACATTTTTGAAGACAGAATTATGTCGGAAGCAAAAAAAGAAGAAACGGCAGTATAGCGCGGAAAACATAAAATATGGATTTATCCAGAATCCATCTTCGCCTATGTGCCTTCTTTGTCAAAAAACATTTTCGAATGAAGCGATGAGATCCTCAAGGCTACAAGATCATTTGAATAAAATGCATTCAGAAAAAAGACAGCGGCTTCTAAGCAAGACGAGGTTCCTACAATATCTTCTTACCAATTGCTCAAACAGGTAAACCTCAC